ATATTTATTACAAGGTTTCGGACGTTGTACACTCCGGCCCTCTTCAGTATCTGTCTATATTTCTGAGATAAGGTATTATGTACACTATTTACATTATTCGGACTATTGTTCTCATCTTTAACACCATATTTATTACAACGTTTCGGCCGTTGTACGCTCCAGACTCCTTCAGGTGCTTGGAATGTCGAACTGAACCCTTTATTTCGTTCACTGGAGTAGACTGTTCTAGTTCCACGTGCTATGTTTAATGGATGTCAGTTATCAGTTATCTCCTGTTAATTTCCCTCCGAAAGTTCACCAACGCCTTAACCAGGTATTGAACTCACACTCTTTGGGTCCTGTCACTGGATCTAACTAACGCCTTTATCCACTGTGCCATGTGTCCTTTCAGATACAGAATGAGCTTGAGTAAATGGATAGTAGAACGGGGTTTTGGAAATATAACACAGAGCCAACATTTATTAAGAGCTAAGAAGGACATGTGGAGAGCCATGATCACCAACGTTCTGAAGAGACATGGTACATAGAAGAACGAGCTTGATTAAATAAATGAGAGTCATGATTGATCGATTACGTCCTGAAGGGACACGGTACATATAAGAATATTTGAAATATTGGCTTTAGGTGTAAGTAATTTCCGTTTTGAGAACAAGGATCTAAAATCAAAAACTTGTGCTTTGTGTTTTTTTCTTTTTCTTCTTCCTTTTCATCTAAGTTCCGCCCGAACACCCAGCAAACGATTTAATTGTGAAAGCCAAATCCCTTCTCCATGTCTGACCAACCAGACTTCTTAAATAGCCATAAATCAGCTCCCAGTTGCTTCAGAAATTTGATGCCACCATTATCATTTGAATACTTATTTTCCCCAATCAGTAAAAAAGATGACGACTGTTTGCAATTTTTCTTTAAACAGGTTTTAAAGCCATTAGAACAAAGCCTCTTTTTTTTTTTTTTTTTTTTTTTTTACAAATTTGAAAAACAATTTTTATACACGTATCTTTCATAAACCGTCAGGCTTCATTTTGGCGTTTCTTTTACATCAATTTGAATCTTACATATACAAAGGTTTACTATCACAGTTTTACCATTTTTATTAACTGTCTGCTTCATTTTCAGTTTTATTTTTTATTTAGAAATACGTTTTAGAAATTTTCTTCTTTTAATGTTTTTTAAATACATCCTTGAAAAAAAATAGAAACAAACCTGGTTGTCTGTAATGTTTTCTTTTATTTCCTTTTAATTATTTTGATACAAGTTTACAAAGCATATTGTCAATTTGATGCTATCAACATAAGAAAATTGCTTCAATTCAATCGTTTATTGTCACAGGCATGAACTTGCTAAGTCCTGCTCTGACCTTATAGTGAAATATTGAGATACAGTAGAAATGAATTTAAAAATATCTCCTTATAACAAACAGTTATCTCCCTTGTAATTAATAAACTCAAAATGCCGTTTAATGACAGGAAGTGAAATATATATTCCTGCGCAAGTGAAGCGACATTTTTTATTGTTGCTTACAAGTTATTTGACCATTATGATTTATTTTCATTTATAAAAAACAAAACAAAACAAAAAACAACCAAAAACCCTTCCAAATTTAGTATAAGATATCAGGAAATTGAATATAAGATATGGAGGTGGTAGTTTTATGGAACACTGCAAGATGTATCGTTATCTATTCCTACCTTTAACTGTTCGGTCAATGAAAACTGAATATTTTCTAGACGGAAACAGATGATCTCACCGATGACATTAACCCTCAAACAGCGGAAAAAGGTTACACGTACTTATATGCCAACAGGATAAAAGCGAGAAAATTGTTTTTAAAGGGTAATTTTTATGCTTATTATTCGTTTTAATTATAAACAAAACCTATTAAAAACGGTATTTTAAGACTTTTAGATTCTATGAATGAAGATAAAAAGAAGAATATAAAAATGTTACGTACTTAAATTTCATTTTCCTAACAAAGTCTGCTACTTGACGCTTTCTATGCCCAATTGAAGTGTGCATCATCTGTCCGAAGTTGTCACTATTTCTCACCTTCAAGATGTATACACAAAGACATGATATTGTACCTAACAGTATAGATATTGATTAACGGGTTTGGCGCCATTTATGGTAGCCTTATGAAAGTCCCGATCTGACAAGACTATTTAAGAATATGATTAAAGTTAATGATTTGCTTTTATAGCAATTTGCGGTGTTGGGCGAAACTATGCCTGCCGCAGCCTAGCCTCGATTCCATTTCCCTTTTCTCTTAGACTAAATTGATTTTATTTAATTTATACACCAAGATATTTAAAGTGTTTTATATTTAAAAGGTATTTTATGCTTATTTCTGCTTTTATTTCAACGGTATTTTTATGCTTATTTATTCTTTTATTTAAAGGATATTTTATGCCTATTTCTGCTTTTATATTAACGGTATTTTTAAGATCATTCTGCTGTCATTAAACGGTATTTTCATGATTCTTTCTGCCTTTCTTACAATGGTATTTGATGCTTATTTGTACTTTTATTTAAAGCGTATTTTATGCCTATTTCTACCTTTATTTCAATGGTATTTTTATGCTTATTTATTTAAAGGGTATTTCTTGCTTTAATTATATACAAAAGCTATGGAAATTGTATTTACCATCTTTTAGATCATAAAAATAAAGAAAGAAGGGAAATGAAACAGATGTGTGATTCTTAAATTTATTATTTCTTCATAATATGACATTCCTTGAAACTTTCCATGCACAATAGAAGTGTGCATTCTCTGCCCGAGTTTGTCTCTATTTTTCACCTCTTTTCTCTTCGAGTGATATGCGCGCAAGCCAAATATATATATATATATATATATATATATATATATATATATATATATATATATATATATATATACACGAAATGGCGTATTCATATGAATTATGAAGTTGTCAATTAGTCATTCAGACTCGAATCATGAATGAGGTGAAAAAAAAAAATGAAATCATCATTGACAGATATTATCGTTGGAAAATAAATCATCAATTGATAATATCCGCTTACCTCCAAATAATATCATTTGAAGATGTTCGCCATTAAATGGTTACTTATGTTTAGGAATATATCCTGAAATAATATATGGTTTTCTTCAAATTTCTGACATAATTTCATAAACAAATAAATTGCCCATTTCTTAATGGAATTTCTACAAATTATGCAAATTTATCTTACAAATCTAATGAAAATTATTATTCAGTCAAATACAGAAATTTGTCGGCTGCATTGATTGTGAAAATTCAGAAATGAAACAAAAATTTTCCTTTCTCTTGTCTACACTTGATTCAACCAAGAGGAACAAATTAAAAGAGTTCGTCGTAACTATTTTTCGCCCATCTTCTCTTCGAGAAATATACATTCATTCATAACACTGTCTTTGGCCTGTTCTTCCAGCTTTATTTGCAGGCAAATACTCCATCAAATGACGTTACCTCATAAATCTCAGAATTACTAATTAGTTTTTAAAATCGAAACATTAATGAATGATGCCCTTATCGTTGGAAAAAAAAGCTTAAATGCTCAATTGACGATATTCAAGTTTTCGCATGAAGTATTGTCATTATCATTATATTATAATTGTTTTATCACTTGTTCCTTAATCAGTTAATTAATTAATTTATTAGTACGTCCGTTACTCCATGCCATTAACTCAGACAAATAATGGACTATTGTGTTTTGATTGTGAGGAAAGACGGGCGAAAAATACATTAGAGACACTGTTGCATTTCAGTGAGAAAGAAAGAAAGCGATAACACTCTCATGTGATTAACGTCTGCTTCAGTAAAATGAAAAGCTTTGCTAATTCTGAATCCTTTCATTTGTACCCTCTTACTTCTATAAATAACGACCTGCGTTCATATATATGATTGTTATTGCAATATGTTGTTAAAATAGTTCAACTAAAATATTTAATAATGCAACAAATAGTCATAGAATATGCAAAGCACGTATTTGATCATTAACTTAAGAATTGATGCATTAAAATTTCTATTGAACAGTTATCCTTATCTTTGTTGTTAGTATGTTTCGCTCAATACACCCCCTCCATGATGTTTTTTTTTTTTTTTTGTTTTGAAATGCTAGACTGCAAATGTTATACTTTTGGTTATTCGAATCTATGAATTTATTTACTAAACTGAGGGCAGTCAAAATTATCACTTTCGCTTTGTTTTCTTAATATAGTTTTTTTTTTTACAATGATGTCCACCCTGTAAAAGGCCCGGGAGCCACTCGAGATAGAGGTTTACAGATTAAGAAGCACAGTTTATGCGGATGTGTGGAGAAGATAACGGTTAACCCTGGACTTGAACAGGTTAAGGTTTTAGTAACCTATTCATCTGATCTTGCACCGTGTGATTTTTTTTATTTTCCCCATATTCAAAGGGATCATCAAGGAGACCCATTTTTAAGAGGGCCATAATGACAGAGCTGAGTGGCATCCTAGAAGAATCCTTCCAGAAGTGCATAGACAACGTGGAAGAGAAAAATGGAAAAGTGCATTAGACTTGGGGGTGGGGGTTACTTTAAAGGGGAAACCATATAGTTTGTTGTTTGGATTGAAATAATTTTTTGTGAAACCAGCCCCCCCACCCGTTACTTTTCAAACAGATTTCGTATGATATGTGTTTTTCCTCATTTGAAATTAAAATAAAGAGAAGGGAAAAGTCTGTTGCGAAAAAAAAAAAAAAGAAAAGGAAAGGAAAAGAAAAGCACAGGCGACGTTTTACTATTAGGCTACAGCTGTATTTTGTTGTTTCTATGGCGATGCTTAGTAGCGTCTCATCTGATGTCAGGCTCGATGAGTGCGTTGCGATGGTTTGCACTTGTAATGGTATATGCAGTGCGATTGGTATAAGTAGTAGTGTGATGGTTGGTGGTCGGATTGTTTTACTAACATTTGTAATGAATCTTTTTAGTCGATGGTCATTGTCGCTGGCAAAATTTCAATGGCCGCCTGTAATTGAATTTCAGCGCATCAGTGAATATTTGAAAAGGGAAATAGGATACTGGAGGTATGAGGATTGGGTGCGGTGACATAATGGCGGAATCTTCAGTTTGTCCACTTCGGAAAAGAATCGAGTGAAAACAACAGATGAGAGACAATGATGGAAAGAAATCAAATAAGAAGGAATGAGGGAGAGAGAAAGAGGGAGAGAGAGAGAGAGAGAGAGAGAGAGAGAGAGAGAGAGAGAGATGGGCAAAAAGAAAGAGTGGGATAAAAAGAAGAAAGAAAGAATTAAAGAAAGACTGATGAAGAAGAAAAGAAAAGAAAAAAGAAAGAAAGGAAAAAGGACAAAATAAACGACAATTCAAAGGAAAGAAAAAGAAGTAAAACTGACGAAATAGGAAGGAAATGAATAAATAAACAAAAAGAAAAGAATATATATATATATATATATATATATATATATATATATATATATATATATATAATAATAAAAAAGGCTTAAACACTAATATTCCATGGTCATAATTTATTCCATTGGAATCGTAAATACGATCAATTCATCAGATCTACCAATTCAAAAAAAAACCAAAAAGCAACTCCGGAAATAAAAATAAAAAAATTTAGTGAGATTGTATGTATAAGAGTGTGGGACGAATGTTAGAGTAAATGAAAGCTATAGGGGGTGGGTAACAGACGAGAGAAGAACAGGAAGGTCTAAAAGATGAAGGAGGATTAAAATTTAACAGAGAGAAGTTTTAAAGAGGGGAGTCAAAGACGGTTTAACTGAGAGAAATATGAATATTCTCGGATGTCTACATTAAAGATATACCGGAAAAGATATATATATATATATATATATATATATATATATATATATATATATATATATATATTAGATATATGATTGCATATATGTGTATATTTACCACTAATATTATCTATCTATCTATCTATCTATCTATCTATCTATCTATATATATATATAAAAACAAGTTTGATTAAATACATTCAACAATGTTCACCTGTTAAATATTTTATTGTATTTTCCGATTTTCGAATAAGGTATTGTATATTGGGATCGAAATTGTTTATAAAATGTCCGAAGTTCATGTTTGATTTGTTTAACTCCTTTCGGCCGTCTCAGTCATTTTCAAGAACCGTGTGCTGTCGTGTGAAAGGCAAGATTTCATTGGCTGCATCCTGACACAGACTTCTGGGATTTTTGTTATGTCGTTGGTTTTTATTTTCAAATATCGTGTATATCACGAGTTCAATTTCAGTTTAATAGCCTCTCTTATAAAATAGAATTTTGACGATGACTGTAATGACTTTTCTGATTCTCAACCGTCAAAAGTTGTTTACTTCTTATTTTAAACTTTTAAAATGTCTTCAATGGCACACAAAGATTTTACCATCGAGGCATTTAATGTCAGAGGGCACGCGAAGAAAGAAAAAGCAGGAATTATTGACTCGGCATGTTGAGAGTTTATAATATTGATAGGTGTTGTCTCCAAGAAACTAAAATCAAAGAAAGGCTTTAATATCGGAGTTAGACAGCACAAGTTACTAGCTTTGGAGATATAGAGTAAATATTATTGAAACAGATTTGTCATCAATTGCAAATGGAATAATAACATAGGTATATACATTAGAGGAATTTTGAACGGAGACATTAAAAGAACTAGCAATAAAATTCCATAATTCCCTGTACACAAAAAAAATTAAAAAAAATTGAAGAGCTTGGAAGATCTGCAGGATTTTCGTGAGTCAGCACAAGATGGGAAGTTTTGGAGATGTCTAACAGGATATATTTACAAAGTTGAGGAAGATGAGAAAACACAATGATTTTCGGTGTGCTTTTTAAGGGGGGACACAGCTCTTATGATGATGATGATGATGATGAATATAAAACAGCTCACATAAATAATCATATGAAACCAACGGTATAGCATAAAAAATATGTCTTCGATAATCTTACTTATTATTGATTGTGTGTGTGTGTGTGTGTGTCTGTACGTTTATATATTGGATCGGATTTCCTACATTTTTTCAACCGATTTCAACAAAACTTCACAGGACTGCGTAAAATTACCTTGCGGTGGTTCTAACAGCGCCAAAAATTGGAAAAAACACAATTGTTTTTGCACAAAATCAATTTGAAAACACGATTTATCGCGAGAATGAAAGGGGGGACAACTCATATCAAGTTATACTTATTATAAAAGCCAGGTTGTTTTTGTGTGTGTGTGTTCGTTTATATATGGGATCGGATTTCCTACATTTTTCAACAAATTTCAACAAAACTTCACTTTCTTTTAGCAGGTAGTGTTTCTTATTGTCTTGCACATTTTTTTCTTTATTTTTATATTCAGAATGCTTTAAAAATTCCATTTACAAGACAATTCTTTATAATAAAATTCAATCGATAGACTCATAACGATTAAAAACAATGCTTTTGTTTGAGTTTGGGTTTGACCAATTCGTAAAAAAAAAAAAAACTAATTAAGACATGCGTGTCCGTCAACCTTAAACAATAATCTTTGTCAATTTTATTTTTCAGTCTTTATGATGGTCTATACTTGATCTATCTCTTACTGTTACATCCCCGGGCAACGCCGGGCTCTACTGCTAGTGGCTAATAATAGCTGAAAGTATATAGATATTTTAAAATATATTTTAAAATATGAACCCGAAACCAATAAAATAATCCGAAGCATCAAAAAGTTAACAAGGAATTTTTGTTGTTATTTGACCAAATTCTCCCCCCCCCATATATATATATTGGTAATCACGATCCAATTCATCAGACCTACAAATTCAAATTCATTTCGAATTTGTAGGTCTAATGAATCCACCTAATCGTAAATATTTACTATTCATTGGTTGTGAAACTATTTAAAATATATCACATTTCAGCCCAAAAGCAGGAAGAAAATTTTATTAACTCAATACTGAGAATTACTTTTATTGAAACAATCATATACATATACCGCAGAGCCATGGAACTATGGTTAGAGAATTAATCGAGCCGTTCCATTATTGTATTAACGTGTTCAATTTCCATTCAAATCCCTATGTTTGTGGTTTTATTCAATACGAGAATAAACATAGTATTTGCCAATAAAATATTACTAGTAGTGAGGACAAAGGTTGTGTGGTTCCGGTCGAGCCATTTGCGTTCAGTTCATACTATTGGTAACGGTAATAGCGTTTTCCTTATATGGAAACATTCGGCATACATTGACCAAGTAGTCAGTACTACTCGAGTTAGACTTCGTTTGTTTGCCATCTGACTGGGATAAAAAGAACTGTTTCGTCATCTTTAATGGCAATGGTAAAAGGAAACATTCGATTTTCGTTGACCGTACAACTAATGTCGGTTGAAATTTATAAAATCTTTCTATGAAAAAAATTTCTCAGGAAAATAGATCGCTCAAGTCCATTAGCTGTTATCGCTCTTTCCAGTATTGTGATGGGGGTTTCCTTGCTAACCTTTTGTTTGAAATAGTGTGGAATAAGGCAGTTCGATTTTGGAATCGTGATAGTACACTCAATTGGAAAGTTGTGACTTAACATGATAAATAATGAGAGAAAATATTTCTTTCGAACTCTTTACAATTTTTTAAGGAAACAAGTTTAAAGATTAAGTTTAAAAAGTGGAGCGTTGGAAATTCATTCCGGTGATCAGTGAAAGCCTTATGGAATTCTTAATTGAAATAAATGGTTTGAAATTAAAAGGAATAATAAATTCCATAACCAGTAACTATCTTCAACATGATTCAAAGAATAAAGCAGCTGTCGACTGAAATACAGAATTTTGCATCAAAAATTTTTTTATTTTGAAGTCAGATGAATTGGAGGCGAGGGAAAAGGCTACTAAAAATAAGTAAAAATTTATTCATATTTAATAAGTTATGTCAATTTACAAGACTAATTTTAAAATTTCTTTCAAATTACAAAAATATAACCAAGTATGGGCAAGTTATCCAATAAAAATATATTTTTTTGTTTCAGAAGTAGCGAGCCATCAAAGAAAAGACTAAAAAAATTAAATTTATCAACTCTAAAACGACACGCTGATCAAATTTGATTAACCTCTCACCAAATGCAGTTTGTGAACCTGCATTTGCAGAAGGTTTTTCAAATAATCAACTGCAAGAGGTTCTAATAACTGAAACGATATTGGAGTTGCCGAATTTACCTGCACATTCGCAACCTGTGGAAAAAGCAGTTAAACTAAATACTGAAACTTCACCAATTGTATATGGACTAGAAGCGATATATTTTCCAGTCAATGTATCTAATACAAAAATGGACTATAAGAGAAGAAAAACTCAGAATTCAAAACCGTGTGGAAGGCAACGAGAATCCCCTTCAAAATATTTATTATGAAATGTCATGAAGCGCGCATTGTTTACAGAAAAAAAAAAGTAACAGTGGATTGTTTTAATCGCCCAGGTCTTGGAACATAGATTTAAAAAACAAAACAAAGTGAGTTTGCTTCTCACTCACTTCCTATATTCTTAGCTCTGTAGCGCAGACTAATCTAAAATTATTTTATATGCAATGTCTTTTCAGGTCGTTAGCGATCATGGCTCTCCACAATTTCCTTTCCTTTGTAGCTTTTGTCTTTTTTCTATCTATCCTAATCCCAGTTCTGCCAAACACTTACACAAACTCTCTAGGTAGATTATGCACTGTTTTCTTTGCCCCCTTTGCCTTCTGTATGTCCTGACAGTATGACATTTGCCAAGCCTTCTTTCTTCATTAAGTACCCCAGAAATTTCAACTGTACCTTTCTGATTCTAAGTGTCCTTTTTGTTTCCACTTCCGTCGTTGCTAACGTGTTCAGGCTGTGACATTCTCATCATCCTTCTGTAAAAACAAATTTTTTGCTGCCTCAACTCTCTTCTCCACCTGTGAGGAGATTGTCCAGCATCCACTGCCATATAGGAGGACCGATGTTACATAATAGTTCATTACTCTTTTCTTTGTTGCTAATGGAAATTTAATTTTTGCTTAGTTTTTGGGAGGTATCTTTGGCTATCCCAATGCGTCTACGGATTTCAATGACGCATTTTCTGTCCTCTTTGAAAAAAAACTTCCCAGATATTCAAGTTGTTGTAATTGCTTGATTTTAGCATCCCCAATTTGTAATTCGCATGTTGGGTTGTCCCTTTTGCTAACAACCATACATCGCGCTGCCGGACAGATGTGCTCGTAACATCCGCTAATTGAACCCGGAGGACTGGTAATGTGTGGCGTCGTCCAATTATTTCTGGTTGATGGCAGGATTCAG